GGAGCTCCAGTGGCGGCGTCACTGCAGCGTCTCTGCGCCCATTTGCGCTCATTTCAGCGCACCTCAATCGCGGATCGTGCCTAATAGGGAGCTCCACATGGCCCCGGTGAAGGGGCGTCGCTGTGGCGCATCCGCGACTATTTCGGTGCACCCCTCACGCTGATGGTCCACCGCAGGGAGCTTCCTACGGCCCCAGCGGGGTCGTCGCTGTAGCGTCTCCGCGCTCACTTCAACGCGCCCCTCATTTGAAAGAATCTTACCCCACGGGGAACTCCACCTACGGCCCCAGTGGGAACCACTATAGTGCTTCCGCGACCATGTCGGCGCACCCCTCACGCGGATCGTGCCTCGCAGGGGGCTCCACCCACGGCCCCAGTGGCGGCGTCACTACAACTTATTTGCGCCCATTTTAGCGCACCCCTACCACGGATCCTGCCTGACAGGGAGCCCCGCATACGGCCCCAGTGGAGGTGACGCTAAAGCGTGTCGACTACTATTCCCGCGCACCTCTCACGCGGATCCTCCCCCAGAAGGAGCTCCACCTACGGCCCCAGTGGGGGCGTCACTGCACGTCCCCATTACCACGTCGGCGCACCCCTCACGTGGATCGCACCCCACGAGCTCCGCCTACAGCCCCAATGGGGCTGTCGCCGTAGCGTCTCCCCGTGACCCTTTCGGCATCCCGCTGCCACTGATGGTGCCCCACAGGGACCTCCACCCACGGTGCCGGTGAGGGCCTTCGCAGGCCCCCGAAGGCCTCGGAGGGCCTCTGGAGGGTTCCGTGGAGGAGGAGGAGGAGGAGGAGGAGGAGGAGGAGGAGGAGGTGGAGGAGGCCCAGGAGGCCGAGGAGGATCAACTCCAGCGCCGTCAGACTGCCCATCCTCACGGGACGCCAGCCCGTGGGGCCGGGGGCCCCGTGGAGCCCACCACCTGGCCCACGCAGCACAAGCCACCATGGAAGAGGCAGGTCGCTCAAGCACAATTCTTCTGGTCTGCGGGTCGAGAGCGAGCCTCTTCCGGTTAAGAGCTAGGCGGGCCGCGCAAAGCACTAATTGGGGAGACAGGGCGCGGGCGGGCGGGGCCTCAGGCGGCCGGAGGGCGCGGGGTGCAGGCGGTGCTCAGGTCGCTCAAGAACAGCATGCCCCTGAAAGGGGTGGAACACCACCTGGCCCGCAGGAGGGGGCCTGGCCGTCTGGGGCTTGCCGTCCACGCGCCGGAAGGGAGTCGGCCAGAAGTGCCCCCCGAAGCCTCCGGAGGCCCCGAGGAGTACAGAAAGCCCTGGTGGGAGAGACGCACGACGAGGAGATAAGAAGGAGGAGGAGGAGGAGGAGGAGTGGAAGGAAGGAAGGAAGGAAGGAAGGAAGGAAGGAAGGAAGGAAGGAAGGAAAGAAGGAAGGAAGGAAGGAAGGACGGAAGGACGGACGGAAGGCAGGAAGGAAGGAAAGAAAGAAGGGAGGAGGATGGAGGAAGAGGAGGAGGAGGAGGAGGAGGACGAGGGCCCTTCCAGAGAAGGAGCCCCCTCGGGCCAGAAGGCAACCCTTCCAGCAATGTACATCGATATCGGACGCACAGGGGCTAACACCGAGAAGCAGGATTGAGGAGGAGGCACAAGAGGACGGCGAGGATGAGCTGTTGGACGTCTGTGGCATGTTTGGGGCTCAAGGGGACCTCCTGCGGCCTGCAGAGACCTCCAGAGACCTCAGTACAATGACAACGACAGCGACGATGACGACGACCACGATGAAGCGAGGGCCTGCCGTCGGGAGCCTCCCTGAAAGGCGGGTTGGGCTCCGCGCCGGTCCTTCCTCCAGCCGCTCACGTCTCGAACAATACCACCCCCTCCTCCTGACTTCCGCCTCTGGCCTCCCAGGGCTCCCAGCTCCCGCTGCCTCCCCCCCCCCCCGCCCCCCACGGCAGTCCTGGGCCCCGCAGGGCGGGCTCGGACTCGATCCTCGGGAGCCTCAGGCTCCTCGGCATGGCCTCTCCGCGAGGGGGGGGGGGGGGCCAGCGAGGGGAAGCGGCCGGCGGAGGAGGGCAGGGAGCTGGGAGGGCCCGGGGCCGCCTCGGGCGCCCCTGACCCCACTCTCCAGGGGGAGGCTCCCCGTCTTTCCTCCAACGTCGATCTCGTCCCCTTCCCTGGGGCCGAGGAAGAGGAGGGCGAGGAGGAGAAGGACGAGGAGGAGGAGCAGGAGCGAGGGGTAGGGGAAGACGAGGGAGGGGCAAGAGAGTGGGGCAAGAGAGAAGGAGGGACCAAGATTTCCGACATCGTGATTGTCTCACAACGTGGACCCCGAGGGTCAGCGCTTAACGGTCTACACTACTTTCCCCGGGTTGGCTTTTCACTGCCCTGGGGTGGGGAAATGGCCTCCACAAGCCGAAAACTACCAAAAGCTTACCATTACTACTTTTCCGCGCTGCCTGGAGTTGAGTGTTTCGGCATATCGAGAAACTGGTCCTAGGGGGGGCCATTGAGGGGGAGAGCAGCCTGCAGCAGGAGGGAGGGAGGGAGGCCGAAGAGGAGCAGAGGTGGGAGGAGGAGCCGCCGTTCTCCACCAGGCCCCTGGGGCCCCGAACACATAGGAGGACCTTTCGCGCCAATGTCTTGTCTACCACCGGAGAGGGCGTAAGACTGCGTCCCGGACGCCGCCTGCCGCCGATCGACTTCCCGAGGCCCGAGACGGCGCCCACGCGAGGTTCAGAACGACCCGAGAAGGCCCCCCAAAGGCACGCGCTGTGCGCGCGGCCGTACAACGCTAGAGCGTGGCTGCACAGCTTCCCAAGTACAGTGGTGGATAGGCGCTACGGCGCAGCATAACAGCATGCGTCCTGTGAACATGAAAAGAAACAAGCAAATGAAATGAGCTGCACACGAGTGCCACACCGACAAGCGTGTGCGGCAAGCCCTGGTGCACACCGGCGGCAAGTTGTGGGGCCCGAGCGTCTGGTGGCGAACGTGCACACCACGAGGCCAGCACGGAAAGAGCCTATGGTAAGACTAGTCACATGGCTTCCTGCGGGTACCCCTGGGATGTTCTGCTGACCGGCAGGAGGAGGAGGAGGAGGAGGAGGAGGATGGGCTGATGAAAGGAACATAAGGCCAAGTGAGAGAATCCCACGGTCGGTGGCGGCAGAGCCGAAGGCATCAAAACGCAGGACTTGACTGTGGCAACCGGCGCGAAGCGCCCAACTTTGAGCCGTAGCCCTAGCATGCGAGCTAATGTATTACACAATTGAGCACATACACGGCACGGCCCGTGGTGCATTGTGCCGCAGAGCTGAGCCTCAAGGCTTCGCCTGCGTCGTGACACTACGTAGCTAGATCCATACACATGAGTTCGTGCGCACATGCGCGTACATGCAATTAGCACGCAGTCCAGCAAGTATCATCGAAGCACGCGCTGTGTATGGCAAACATCACGCGTCGGGGAAGGACAGGGGGAAGGAAAAAAAACGAAGAGGACGGAGAGAGGAGGACAGAGAGAGAGGGAGGAGCTCGCGGGGATGAGGAGAATGGTGGCATGGAACATGGCGGGAAGTCGGGCCAAAAGAGTGGTCTGGCCCGTGGGCACCCGCCTTGTGCATGCCCATCGCCGGGTAAACCTCCAGAGATGACATGCCTGGGCAGGGCGGAGGGCGGGTGTTGCGAGAAGCAGGGGGAGAGGAGGAGCAGCAGCGGCAGGGGGCTGCAGGCGGAGCAAGATCGGGTGCTGCCAGAATTGATCCCCCGCCCCGGGGGTTCCAAGCGCTGCCAGGGAGGCCACAGATCGAGGCACGAGGGCGTGGCCTGAAGCTCCTGCTGGGGCCCCAATTGGGCCAGGGGCTAATTTTGTCAACGTCTGGCAAAAAGAGGCGGTGGACGTCAGCATCTCTAGCCCTATCCCCATCCCCAGTGGGCAAGAGTTCCCTGACGACACCAGCCTACTGTCCCTTGGTGGAGATACAGGCACAGGCCACGGAGCCCGACGGAAACGGCACCCATCCCCACCTGGGGCGGTAGGTCGGCTGGTGGGGAAAAGGTTGACCTACCCGACGGGGCTGGTATTGGCCCACGGATGCTACGAGCGAGGAGCGTGGGCGACCCTGCTTGCTCAGACACCTTGGGAGGCTGCCGGCGCGGCGCAAGTGGGCGGGCGCCGCCTCCGCGACGCAGGTCCGGAGCCCCATGCGGGCGCGGACGGCCAAGCCCCGCACGGAGCGGACAAGAGGAGGCCGCGGGGAGGCCTCGTTGGTGGGCCTGTTCTCCACCACCACCACCATAAGCAGGAGGGGAGGGGGTCCTCCTCCTCCTCCTCCTCCTCCTCCTCCTCATCATCATCAGCATCATCCTCCTCCACCTCCGCCTCGTCCTCGATCTCCACCTCCTTCCCCCCTCGAGCTTCTGGTGGTGGTGGTGGTGGGAAACAGGCCCGTCACTCGCGGCGCTGCGACGCGCAGGCCCATCGCCGCCCCCCTGCGCCTCCCGGGGAGCCCACCAGGGGCGGCGCGCGCCTGGGGCACGCAGGGCAGACCTCGCCTCCTCGAGCCCTGCCCCGCGTCTTGGGTGGGCGGGGCGCGTCCCTACCTTGTGTTGTGATGATCCAACCTACTTTAGTCGGGAGCGGCCAACAAGGGGGTGTCCAAGAGGGGGGGTGCAAATCATGACCGGCGGCATGTGGAAGGCCCAGCGGGGGGGCCAGGGACGTAATGAAATGAGAAGAGGCGCCATGAAATCTGGGGAAATATCATGGCCCACGCCATGAAATCCACCCCCCCTAGTCATCACCCCCCTCTTTGCCACCCCCGATTTAGCCTTGATCACCAGAAATAACTGACTTCGAGCACCATAAAGATCACCGAAACTCCAGGCTTTTCACGTGCCGGGCCCTGGGAGACACTCGCTCGACACTGCTGCGGCACTTTTTCGACGCTTTTCTCCGGGTGCTCGAAACTATTTCTGGGATGTGGTCCTCAAGTACGATGGGAACAACTTAAGCCTTGTGCTTTTTGTGCCTGCTCTGCGCCGCGGGGCAGCTGCGAGCCTGGCCGCCCACCGATCTGGGCCGCCCCCCCGCGCCCCGCGCCCCCTCCGCGCCCCGCGCCCCCCCCTCCCGGTCACGGGAAGTCCTCCGCCAGCAGCTGCTCGAAGTCCTCGATGGAGGCGAAGGTGGAGCCGGAGTGCTTCTTCTTCAGCGCCTTGATGCGCTGCGCCTTGGAGGCGGGCGCCGGTCGCTTCTTGCCCCGGTGCTCGAAGGCGTCGTCTGGCTCCGAGTCCTCGTCCTCCTCGCCGCTCGGCTGGGCCCCGGCCTCGTCCGACTCCGCCCCCTCGGGGGCGTCGGAGGCCCCGCCTGCGCTGCCGTCGTCGTCGGAGTCGTCGTCGATGTCCACGTCCTCGTCCTCGTCCCCATCCTTGGGCATCTGGCCCTGGATGTACTCGTCGAAGAACTTGTCCTCCTCCTCCTCCTCGTCGCCGTCGTCCGCCGCGGCGTCCGCTCCCTCCTCGTCGACGTCCTCCTCCTGCTGCCTCTTGCTCTGGGCCTTTCTCCTCTGGGCGGCCCGCACCGTGGCGTCGCAGAAGTACAGCTGGAAGAACTTCTCGTGCGCGGGCACGTGCTTCTTGCGGGAGAAGTGCTCGCTCGTGAACGCGACGCGCGCCACCTTGGACCTCTTGTCCCGGCCCTTGTCCTTCCCGTCCCGGTGCGCCCGGGAAGCGAGGACAAAGGTCTCCAGCAGCTGCCCGCACGAGAGGACCTCGAACGGGTTGTCCCCGGCGTCGCGGTACGGCTCGCAGTGGAGAAGCTTCGTCGCGCCGAACGCCACCGACGGGTGCACGTGCGCGGCGAGCGCGTACAGCTCCCACAGCGGGGTGTGCCCAGCTCTCGCGAAGCGCGGCTCGCGCGCCAGCGGCTCGTACCGCGGCCGCTCGCCCCCTTCGCGGGCCCCGGCCGCGTCCGCCTCGCCGTCGTCGTCCCGGAAGTGCTCCTGTGAGACCAGAGCAGATGGGGGCGGAGGATCGCACTGCATCGGCCCTTCATCGGCGATGCGCCAGCGATGTCGGCGCGGAGAGAGCTGGGCTTCGGATCGCATTGCCCCGCCGATGCATCGGCGACGCAGCGCGATCCTCCAGTGCACCCCGTGCGCTCCAGCCCCGCTTGAGCGGCCCAGATCCTGGCCGTCGTCGTCGTGGTCCAGCCGCGGCTGCAGCGACGACTCCACGCTCCCCAGCAGCGGCCGCATCTCCGAGCGGTGCGCGGCCAGCAGCTCGCGGAGGACCGAGAGCGCCGCGGCGGCCACGGGGGGCTCCGAGTTGGCGCCGATCTGCAGCAGGCGGCGCGCCAGCGCCAGCCCGCGCGCCGCCGAGGGGTCGGCCGGGGCGCACTTGCGCAGGAGCAGGGAGGCCTGGAGCCTGTGCGTGCACGCGAAGAGGTCGAAGTGCGCAATCTGCTCGTAGAGCAGGCGGTAGAACCTGTCCGGGGCGGCCCCCTGCTTGAAGAGGCACTGGAACAGTAGGCTCATGATGGCTATGCGGGTGGAGAAGGCGGACACCGTGTGGCACACCTTGAACAGCGCGTTCACGGTGTCCTCCTGCATCGCCTTGGTGGTGACCATGGCGTTGTCCAGGTATGGCAGGGCCCGCTGGATTCCGCTCACGAGGGTCCGGATCAAGCGATTGTCATCCTCGCTCAAGCGCCCAGTCCGCTTCGACGAACGCCACTGCACCCGCCTCCTCCGAATCGCCTCTTTGCGGGACAGCTTAGGTGGCCTCAGCGCCTCCTCCAATCGCCCGACAAACAGCTTGACCAGCTGCGCGGCCAGATCGGCCTCCTTCCGATTGAGAGTCATCTCGGAGAGGAAGAGCACGGCGCAGTACTGCGACTTGCGGGATATGTTCGGCCTGGCCAGGAAAGTTTCCACCTCCTTGGCAACGATGCCCTTCATCCCGGGATGCGCCTCCAACAGCTTCTTGAGGTGGAAGCCAACGTTCGACGAAACCTTGGGCGACAGGTCACCGAACTTGTTGACAAGCAAGTTTAGTAAAGCTCGTTCCTGCTCTGGCTTAGAGGACAGCAGCTCGAAGGCGGTCCGCATGGCCTTGGTCTTCATAAAGGTAACCGTGGTGTGAGCTGCCTCGCTGAGGATATGGATAAACGCTGCAAAGGCAGTCTTCAAATAGTCCTCGAAGAAATTCACAGCGCAACGCTCCGCGAACTGCTCCTCTGTGAGACCTTTGGGGGAGATCGGCTCCATCTGGGCCAGCGTCCTCAGCTTCCTATCGGGGAGCAGAGTCGTGATGAAGAGCTCCTTCATCGCGTCCAAGGCCGTCATCGAGTCGCTGCGCCCCAGCTTCCCTGCCAGGGTGAGCAGGCTCTTGATGTACCCTGTGGAGAAGACGGGGCAAACCTGAATGAGCATCACCAGCGAGGCCGACCTGTCGCTCGCAGTGCCCTCGCCACAGACCTTCCGAAGCCACCGCTGCTCGGAGTCCTGCATCATCGCGGACTCGTACAGTCTCCTCATCTCCTCGTGCGTCCTGACGCAGGCCTGCTGGAACTCGGCGGGCTTCGTGCGCCTGGGCGCCTTCAGGTCCTGGCCGATCTCCCACCACTGCTGCGTGGAGAACGCCCGCAGCGCCTCGACCTGCTTCCTGGAGGCCTTCGCCGCGGCGCCGCTGAGGGCCGAGGCGGAGCTCTTGCCGCCTCCTGCGCCTTCGGCCACCTCGTCCCCCGCGGGGCCGCGGGCCGAGCTGGCTCTGCCCCTATCCCTGTCCTTGCCCTTGCCCTTGCCCTTGCCCTTGCCCTTGCCCTTGCCGCTGCCCCTGCCCTTGCCGCCCCCGCCGGCGGCGCCGCGGCCGCCGCCCCCCATGGAGCGGGGGGGGGACGGGGGTTGGAGGGAGGATCGAGGAGGGAGGACCGAGGACGCTCGAGGAGAAGAAGCGACCGCACGAGGAGGAGGGGGGGAGATCGAGAGCCAGCAATGGTGTGACCGTCCTCTTGCCCTCTCGGGGACCTTCGGGAGCCTCCCGAGGCCCCTGGAGACCCCCAGAGAACGCCGGAGGCCTCCGGGGGCGGAGCGCGCCCGCGGGCGCTCGGCCAGGGGTGGGACACGGGGCCCTCCCGCGGGGGCGCGCCCGTGTGCACCTGGCTCGACGAAGCGCTGGAGGCCTCCCGGAGCTTGGGCGGACGTGGGCTGGGCTTTGCATCAGGGGCGGCGAACGTAAGGAGGGAGGAGGGCGGAGGGAGGAGGGCGGAGGGAGGAGGGCGGAGGGCGGAGGGCGGAGGGCGGAGGGCGGAGGGCGGAGGGCGGAGGGCGGAGGCAAGCGTCCACGGGGTGGGGGGGAGAGAGGCGCAAATCATGGCCGGCGGCATGTGCGCGGCCCAAGGGCGGGCCAGGGACGTCCTGAAATAAGAAGGGGCGCTATGAGTTCTGCGAAGATAGTTATCATGGCCCCCGCCATGATGTCCACCTCCATAGTCATCACCCCCCTCTTTGCCGTCCCCGACTATAGCTCCAACTCCCTCAAGCACAGTGGCAGAGACGCCGACCAAGCCCGGAACCGGGCCCGAGAGCAAGCCAGAACGTGTGCCCGAAGGGACGGCGAGGCGGGACGCATTCGAAAATCTTGCAAGACTAAGGAGTCTTCCGGGAGAGGCGAGGGAAAGGAGGAGAAGGTGAGGTCCCAAGGGCGACGGTGGAGAGGAGACTCTGGGCTTACCGCGCGTGGGGCTGCCAAGTCTTCGGCCAAACGGCAACGGCAACAGGAGCCAACGACGACGAACCGACGACGACGACGACGACGACGACGACGACGACGACGACGCACCGACGACGACTACGACGACGACGACGACGACGACGACGACGCACCGACGATGACGCACCGACGACGACTACGACGACGACGACGACGACGACGAAGCCGCTTGACCCACCCCAAACGGGCTGCGCCCTCCGCGCACCGCTCCTCCTCATCACCATCATCATCAGCAGCAGCATCATCATGGTCATCAGCATCACCACCACCACCACCATCGTCATCATGATTACCAGCAGCAGCAGCATCACCATCATCATCATCATCATCATCAGCAGCAGCAGCAGCAGCAGCAACATCATGATCATCACCACCATCATCAGCATCCGCATCAGCATCATCATCATCAGCAGCAGACGCATCGTCAGCAGCAGCAGCAGCAATAGCATCATCATCAGCAGTATCAACATCAGCATCAGCATCATCATCAGCATCATCGTCATCTTCATCGGCATGAGCATGAGCATCATCATCAGCATCATCATCAGCATCATCAGATTCCTCATCCTCATCCTCACCCTCATTAGCATCATCATCAGCATCATCATCACCAGCATCATCATCATTATCATCCTCCCCCTCATCATCATCCTCCTTGTCGTTGCTACCTAATCCTGCTCCTTCTCCTTCCCAATGCTAGTTACCTTCTGCTCTCCTCCTCCTCCTGCTCTCCTCCTCCTCCTCCTCCTCCTCATCCTCCTCCTCCTCCTCCTCCTCCTCCTCCTCCTCCTCCTTCGCCACGTCATCCTCCTCCGCCACATCATCATCATCCGCACCCTCGTCCCTGAACCCTCCTCTCCTTCCCATCTCCTCCTCCTCCCCCTCCTCCTCCGCAGCATGGACGTTTCTTCCACCGGGCGTCCCTTGGAGCTCCTGGCCCTGGCTCTCGGCCGGGCGCTGCCGTGGGCAGCGCTCTCCCGCGCGCCGCGCGCCTCCCTCCTCCGACCTTCCCATTCCGCCCGGCAGACTGCGGGAGCCCACCGGAGGCGACCCAGCGGAGGAGGAGGAGGAGGAGGAGGAGGAGAGGAGGAGGAGGAGGGGGGGGGGGGGAGGGGGAGGGGGGGGGGGGGGGAGGGGGAGGGGGAGGGGGGAGAGTTGGTTTCTCAGACTTGAGCCAGTACGTGACATACGTTCACTGTTCATCTATCCATGCTTGCTCTAAGCTTACTACGTGAAACACAACTAACAGTAGTCTAACGAGGTCTGTACACCCATATCTTTACTCTGCTACCCGTTCTCTTGACTACTTAGAATCAGAAAGCGGAGCGTGGAGCGATCCCGGCCTCACACATCATCATCATCTTCTCGTAGATGTCGTCGTCGATCTTCAGGTACTTGTCATGCCGTAGATCATCACTGTCCAATAAATCCTGCTCGCTGTAGTCCGGCTTGATCACGCTGGGCTTGATCCTGATGAACTTGTTATCCTGTACTTGCAATTTCCACAATCCTGTCGTACACTTCATTAGTAACTGCGGGAAAACTCCAAGCTTCGTCAGTCCGTCGGCCAACATACTTGATCTCGGTACATGAGTCACTCTACGAAACCTTCCTGTCAAACGATCCTCTCTGAGGGACATCACTGATATCCTCTGAGTTTTATCTGTTGTCAGTCCTCTGGCTCCCGTGATCAACTCGAAGAGGTCCATGCAATCTGTCACTGCATCACAGGGGATTAGTAACACATTATCTTGTTCCAACATGAGAAGTTGTCGAGGTCTTGCCGGGGAACCAGTGATCTGCATAGAAAACAACTCCGTCATTCTTGATGAGATAAGTTGTGCCACCTGGAGTCCACCAACACATGCGCTCGTCTCAGCATGGGAGGTGCTGTGGCTCACTCGTGATGCCTTCCTTGCGGTGAAATACAGAGTATGGCCATATCCTCCAAAATCTCGGGCCTCTGTCACAGGCCACCATTCTTTATTGTCATACTGCACCTTGGGCTCGCTCATGAGTTCAACGATCTTGCCCTCGAAAGGGTAACCTGACCTCTTTGATGCGTGTCCTGCGTCCGTGATGGATACCAGTCGTAGAGGCCACTGTAGCTTGTGAAAGTGAAGTCCATTCATCGTCTTGCTCTTGACAGCGCGGGCCAACAGGGCATTGCACTGCTTCAGGTGTGTCATCAGAGGGCTGACCGTCTCGCTCTGCAGAAGTACAACTCCATGGCATAGATCCACACGAGTCAAACAAACCCACAAGAGACTGCACAACAATGAACGGAACTCCTTGTGTTCATCCTTATTCAACGGAAGGCTGTCATTCTTGAGTCGCTTGGTGTCGCTTGCCTTCGCTGGAGTCAGCTTCATCAAGTAGTGCTCTTGGTCCAGGAAGTAATGTCCAGGTGATGGCATAGAGTGGCGAACTCCGACATATATCAATGGAAGAACGCACCTCTTGACTGTGCCAAAACGCTCTGACAATCGTATGTAGGTCCTGTCCAAGAAGCTCTGAGACGCGATCGTCAGGATGTCGTCAACGTGAGTGATGTAGATAGCCACTATCTCCCATCCGCGGGTGATGTAGAAGAAGTTCTCATCATGGTAGTCGCTCATGAAGCTCAGCTCTTTGACCATGAAGTTCGCCAGTGCCAGCTGCCATAAGAGAGGACCATCCACAAGTCCGTACATGGCCTTCAATAGTTCGAGCACGAAGTAGACTATGTCCTGGTCCTGCACATAGATGCCACTGCCCTCGATGTTACGGAGATGTCTCCAAACGTTTGGAGGTGGCTTGAACCAGACCTTCCGAAGCTGCTTAACTTCGTGTCCCAACTCAGCTGCCCGGCGTACAACTTCAGAAAACTTGAGGCCCTGTAAGAAGGCCGTGCTGATATCTAGACTCTCAATCACGAGGTCGTACTGAGCTGCAAGAGATACTGCCAAGCGGTGAGAAAGTCGCGACGCTGTCGAGCTGTGTCTGTCAATGCTATTCTTCTGTCGATCGAGAAAGCCTCGTCCACAGCATCTGCTTTTCACCAGTCCTTTTGAACGGTCTGCCCATTTCCGAACCCATGTGCCATCAATGGTGTTGTCGGAGTCTGATGCTGGTGCGAGCTTAAAGATGCCGTGAGATACAAAGCTAGTGACTTCCTTCCTGTCTGCTGCTTCGACCGCTGGCCAATGTGCGATGATCTCCTCTGGAGTGAGGATCTCGCTGCTGGATACGCTGAAGCATTCGTCGTCTTTGAAATCGCAATAGAAACAGCGTGAGGTACGAAAGGGGCCTGGGACAACTAGTAGAGCCTGATTCTCGTGCCAAGGTAAGGTGCCAGCTTGCTCGACTCGGGCTTGATGCAATAGAAGCTCTGCGTCGTGAATTGCATGGTTCATGTAGTCTGCTGCATAGTCATCATGAACTTCGTCAAATGAGTACTCTGCTGGAGAAGCCCACCAGATCGGGAATGGTGTCACATATCTGGAAACTTGAAGATCCTTGTGGTCGATGGTGTCGTCCAGAGAGCCTTCAGGATACTCGATGGTCTTGTCTGGATCTTCAGTGGCAGGGTGTTCACTCGCCTGGTTCTGGTCTCCAGCTTCTGGATATTCAATGGTACGATCCAGATCTCCAGCTCCTGCATCAGGTAGAGGTGAGACTTGCTGTATTGATGACTGAGCTGTGTGTGAGTCATCTGGAACCGTTGGAGAGTCTCCGCGGGAGGCAGCCTTCGGATCATCCAGAGATGAGCCACCTGAGTTCGCCAACTTGGAGCCCTCTGGCCCCTTGGCAATTGGCACACGCTCGCCTGAGACCTCCTCATCATTACTTGCATTATGACAGGGGTCGTGGCGACTCGGTGTGGCGCGTGGCCGTGATATTGCAGGCGAACTGGTAGTTGCCGGTGTAGATGCAGTAGGCTCGGATATTGGTAATACCGGCTGAAATGATGTCGAAGATGTTCTCGGCTGCTTCTCGCCTGGAGGTGATAGTAACGTAGATGTATCCGATCTCTTCTGACCTGTTGTAGCTCGTGGTGGTGAGGATGGTGCCGTAGGCGGAGCAGGAGCAACCATTGGAGTGGCGACTCGGGGTACTGGAATGTCCTTCGGCCTTACAGGTCGCCCATCATCGTCCGGTAGTTGAATACGAACGCGAGTACGAGACCTATCTTGACCTTCTTCAGATGATACTGAACTCGACTCTGCGTCTACCTGCTCCTGTGCCATTGGTGATGCTATCGGGGTCTCGGAGATTGCTAATTTTCTCGGTGTCCCAGCAAGTGGTGTCATAGGTACTGGCACCGTCGGTGTGTCTGGAAGCTGTAGTCCTGGAGGAGGTGCCAGTGGAAATGGAAAAATAGGCGCTGCTGGAATCTGACTTGAGTGCGAAGGCGAGGCCTTCCAAGTCGCCGGTGCTGGAGGAACAACCACTGGTACTGCTGGTGGTGCAGGAGGTGCCGGAGGTGCCGGCGGGTGTCCTGCTGCAACTTCTGATATCTGCGTCATTGGGCTGTCATTCGTCATGCTGACCTCTGGCGGCTGCATGCTGACCTTCGAAGGTTGTGAAGGTGCTGCTAGTTTTGTCCATGGTGGTGATGGCGGCCTCCTCGGCTGGTCTGGCGGCGTCTGATAGTCAGGCGCAGGCGGTATCGTAGATGGCGTCCCATCTGACCAAGGCCACGGTGAGGGCTGCCACATCATCTTGCTCTTTGAGTCCACGACGTCGTCCAGGTCGGGGGTGCGTTCGTAAGAGTCATTCTGCTCGTCCTGAACTTTGAAGAAATAGAACAACACATATGATGATTCTGACCATGGACCATGAGATGCCGAGGTGATGGCATTGACCGTCGCAAACTGCTTTACCACATAGTTGGATCGGACACTCCGATTCCACAAAACCAGGATGCATCGTCTCGCTGCAGGCACTGCCGTCGTACGCTTGCACTGAGTGCCCACCTGAATGCCACCAAGGTCCGATTCGAGAAACGTAGTGCTGGCCACCTGCCTGGCGACCTTGTAGATCTGCGGCTCGTTCTCATAGAGGTCTGGAGGTACAATGGTATAGTGTCCTTCTGCCTCATTGAAGAACTTGCCAAAGATAAGCGGGGTGTTTGGTATCAGCTGTTCGACCAAACTCATAAGCTCAAAGACCAGTCGTGACTTGTCTTGGTCCGTCGTGTACTCCGTGTGTGAATATCCCTGTGTAAGCAGCCAAGTGAAACCAACATGAGGTCGTACATGTCGTAGTGGTACCAGCATAGGATATCCACGCCATGAAACAATCGCCTTGTTCTCGGGCATGTAGTTCTTGATGAGATCTGCTGGTCCTCTCCATCCAGGGTCATCTTTGGTGTCAGGCTCTCTCCACAAGTCTACCTTGGAGCCGTCCACCAACTTGGCTGCGTCCGCTGCGGTATGTTGCTGAACTCGCGTGTTGTGAGCCTTCGCAATCCTGTCTTCCACGATCGCGGCACTGATAGCATCTTTAGCGGCCATCCTGAGTCTGATGGAGGTCTCTACTGCATCAGGCACGCTCTCGAGGATACCTAGCTGCGCAACGAGACCTGGATTCTCATGATCATAGAGCTCTCGTGGTTGAACTCCAGTAAGTGCCGCTGCGGGAGTAGATCCGCCATAAGAAAGAGACAGGTTGGTGGTCATGCAACATTCCTCGACGCAACGCTCTTTGCTAACATTCCATCCTTGCTTTTGTGCTGTGGCCCACAACTTCATACTGCCAATACGTAATATCTGGATTCGCCTCTCACACTTAGGCGCTGCAGTATGTCCCTGACTTCCGCCAAGGTCTCTGTTGATCGAGAAATGCTCGCACGCCTTGGAGACCAGATCTGAGATGACCGCTCCTTCTTGATCTGAAACAAGCCACCACATAGGTCCGAAATATTTTATCCAGAGGTGGAAAGCGGTGTTCATCCAACAATCTGCCGTCTTGTGATCGAGCCTTGTCGTGAGGGCGTAGCTGATGAATTCATCAACAAAGACTACAAACGTCATATCCCAGATAAACCAAAGGTCTGTCTGCACGCGGAAGTTGAAGTGAGGGCTCATCGTAACTCCATGTTGAGGTCGTGTTGGATGTCGGCGCCAGTCCATACAATCTTTGCACATCTTAGGTACAACCTGAAATACCAGGGTAAGAACCACCGTGCCGAAACCTCCTCGCCGAAGAAACCGAATCATATCATCACGTGGAGCATGCCAGAACTTGATATGGAGGCCAAGAATGATCTTCTGCTTCTCGGTGGTGCTGATCGAAGGGTCGTTCAGCTTGCCACGAATCTTGGCAAAGTCGAAACTCGGTTCGATGTAGTCCGGCAGCTCAACTACCTTCGGGTCTTCGTAGGGTTCCAGTGTCCTTGGATCTGTTTTCCGTTTTAAGGCTTTCCTAGGAGGTCGTGATCCTTGAGGTACAGGAGGAGGTACGGGAGGAGGATCCCCAGTGTCTGCATCATCATCTGCATCGTCTGGTAATATTGGTTGATCGTCACCTGCACCGTCTGGTTCAGGCGCTGGAGCTGGCGGCTCAGCAAGTACTGGGCCTGCCGGTGGTGCTGGGTGTGCTGCTGCTGCTGGTCCTGCTGCTGCTGGTGCTGCTGCTTCTGGTGCTGGAACTCCTCCTGGTGGGACAGTCGATGATCCACCAGCTCGGAGAGGATCGAAGCGACAGCCTTTGGCCTTTGTATGCGGCAGTGTGTCCACCTGTTGGCCATCGGGACCGATCTTCTTAGCTCCGTGCTTACACCGTTCGCACGTCCAGCCAACGAAGTGAGACTGGCTTCTGCCGAGGTGCTGTACGTTCGAGCCGATGTTATGCTGCGCCGTGTCGTTGCCGAGATGTGTAGCAACGTCCATGAGTAGGGCCAAACAGAACAGCCAAGGATATACTGCTGAGAGTGCTGTGCGGTGAATAGATCCAACTCTGCCCTGCAGGATGCCGTGGTCCTTGCACTTGTTCTCGCCTTTGCGCTGTCGTACTGAGTGTCGGAGTTGAATGCCAGTCGCCAAGAGAGCCGTTGCCTTCTGTGTAGGACGGCCCGTCTCATCAGTCGCGCCAAACTGACACTGATCAGTGTGGTACCTTTTGTTGCCACCCGGGGTGAACGATGGTGCCTCGGTAACCTTCTTGAGCGGGCTCTTACTGAATATAGAGGAGGACCGAGGGTTCTCGGCGATAGATGCTTCATCCCGCTCCTGGTCGTCGTTCATATGCTGAGCTACCCAGTCCAAAGTCGATCCTTCTGCTTGTCGGGCTTTGTCGCGTTTATCTGGAGGTGATCGATTTGACTGAACAGACCAGGGTGCGCATCGTGGGGACCAAAAATGAACACGGATACCCAGTTCGTGTTTGCACTGATCCAGTAGGCGTCGATGCTCAGGCTGCTTCAAGCCCCATCCGTACCTGTAGTCCACAGGGAAGGCGATCTTGAGACCCACAGCTGCTCCGGCTGCCGAAAGGCGGCCAGACCCGCTCATGCCTTCTTGCAGGCAGAGAGGGGCATCGTGAAGATGGCGTTTCATGACAGTCGTCCACTGACGAACGTTGTCCGGCGTGATAACCACACAGCCTGTGAAAGTATAGAATTCTTCTGGCATTGCACGATATTCATGAGCTAGTCGCTTTGAGTGCTCTTCCATATGTCGAGGCCAGTGATCACCTTCATAAACAAAACCTTCGGTCATGTTCCAAGCCTTGAAGTAGTCCAGGTCATGGTGCTTCGTGATTTTGCTGTATGATGGCCAATCGCATGTCGGTGTCCATTGCACGCTGATCTCTGTTGTCTTAGGGGGTGCTGAGGAACTGCGAGTTGGCGTAGTACTGCTTCCCGTTCTCGAGGCCTGACCATGGAGCTGAATGGATGCCTTATCTTCGGTCATCCGATGACCGAAGATGTTGCGACAATAGTTCCGAACTGCATCCTTTAGAATATCTTCTTCAACATTGGCTTGACCGAACTTCCCGATGGGTAAGAGGTAGTGACCACTGTCCGTGAGAAAGACGCAAATAAAATATGCCTTCTTCTTGCCATTCGGGACAGAAACGTTCAAGACCAGAACTCCATCATGATTGTCAAGAATATCGCAGAAGAGGGCGGCCGAATACTGCAACAAGGATGAGTTGGGAAGCAACCCAGGACACTTGGAGCCAGTGCCGCCCATCAGGTCTGCCTTGAACGTAGTATCACTGCATCCAGGAACGCCGATCGGCATCGTCGCGACTGCTAGTCCAGGGTCTGACTGGCCGTCGATGCCTGAGAAGGTGCTGGTGCTGGGCTCGAGCTCGTACTGAAGGCCTGCGCTCTTCAAGTGTTGCTTGACAAAGTCCTTCATCGTGTCCGTGCCCATGATGCCAGCTGCGGCTCCTGGATCCACGATAAGACCTGCTACCTCCTTGCCACAAACAGTATGCATCGTGCTGAAGTCTTGAGCGGGGCTGTCCGTTGTCATGAAGATGCCGCGCTTGATCTGCCCATAGCCAATGCCAGTGTCCATGGGAGTATTGTTGTTGATGGTCTCCTCGACCTCCGGCGGAGGTCTGAAGCGTTGAGGGTCTTCTTTGTCATCATCATCATCTGCTTCAGGTGGTGGCCGGAAACGGTGAGGATCACCATCGTCGTCATAATCATCTTGTGAAAACTTCAACGGCGTCATAGGAGGTAGTTCCATCTGAATGGCTGGGGTCTTCGGGAGAGTGTCTGAAAGAAACTCGAAAGAGCCAGTTGTTCCAGACGTTTCCCCTGGCGTCGGAAAGTGTGCATCAGGAGGTGTCATCGGCGCGGATGTTGGTGATGCTGTAAAGATTCCAGGCTTCGGAGCGGCCCAGGAGAAATACTGGTGGTAGTTGCCCGTCTGAGTGAAGTAGGCTAAACCTTCATCGTAGCTGTTGCCATAGCCAAACTCCGAAGAATCGTCATACCATTCGCCGTCATCACCGTAGAAACCACCTTTTGATCGGGACTTGCCCTTTCGACTCTTACCTTTCCGACTTTTGCCACGTCCTTTGCTTTTACCTTTGCTCGAAGAGGAGGAAGGGAAAGAGGAACTCTTGCCCTTGCTTTTGCCCTTGTCTTTAGAGCTGGAGGTTCCTGATCCGTTGAGCGGGCAATCCGATGTGCGATGAAACTTTGACCCACATCTTGTACATCCTTCACCTTTCCCGCTCGTGGGGAAACGATTGCCTTTTCCACGTCCTTTACCGTAATGTTCATCATGTTGAGCTGTGCCGTCATCTGCTGCGGGGAGGTATTGAGACCAATCTCCTGATTGCTGCTCATCATCATCTGTCCATTTGTAGTCCTAATCGTCCTCATAGCCGTACCAGGAACTCCATTCATCGTATCCGTCGTTCCAGTTCCAACCATCATCGTGCCACTCATCATCATGGTGTCCGTAATGCTGCTTGATCATCTCAGGAATTGACGATCCACTATTCTGCTCTGCATGGGCCATCCGCTGCAATATTGTCATTAGATCCTCGAAGCGAGCCAGATTGCCGTCGAGCTTGAGCTTGATGTCGTCTTTCAGGCGGTCACTGAGACCTGATGTCCTCAAGAGGAGGTATGACTTTCCCACACTATTGATCTCAAGCCCGCTGTTCTGATTCGCCTCGTCGTACGTCATACGCCACATGGTAAGGTAGTCACTCAAACTCATGCTGCCGCGGTGATGGAGAAAGAACGCGTCCAGAGATTGGATGTTCATCTCCTGCTCCTGCATGCCGAACTCTCGCTGCAGGGCCTGGAGAAGGAGGGTCGCTCCTGCGGGCTCGGCGGGAAACTGCTGTCCAACACTATTCTGCCAAGCCTCATGACTCGGCTGAGCTAACAGTTCATCACCAATCATCTCTCTGACCAAGCCCGTCGATAAATCCAGGCGCTGCTCCTTCAAGTTGTTGGCGATCTGGAATGCTGCACCCTTCAGCCTGCCGGCCATGGCCGGTCCAGTGGCGCTCTCGGAGATGTCCGTCTGGCGCCACCACAGGCGCAACAACTGGGTATACCGTCGTAGAGGATATTTTGGAAGTCCGACTCGCCAACCTGGAGGTACACTCTTCGTGAAGGTGTCAAGGGCCAGGCCGGACTCCGTATGTGTGTCTTGTGCCATCGCTCCAAGAAGTAGGAGGAATAACAGAAATAGGATTACCTCGTAGATATAGTCAAGGATGATGCACTGCGCGCGAATTGTGATCCTCGGGCCGTCGTAGTAATTCTGAAGCACGGCCCTGGAGAAGCGGTTGGAGAAACTCGCGATGGCGAAGTTGTAGTATCTGAATCTGCACGTCTCGGCCTGGCGGGGCGGCGGCGCTATGGCGGCGGCGGAGGCCAAACAAGACAGCGAAGCACGTCTACTCGCTACCAAAGTTGGTTTCTCAGACTTGAGCCAGTACGTGACATACGTTCACTGCTCATCTATCCATGCTTGCTCTAAGCTTACTACGTGAAACACAACTAACAGTAGTCTAACGAGGTCTGTACACCCATATCTTTACTGGGAGGGGGAGGGGGAGGGGGAGGGGGAGGAGGAGGAGGAGGAGGAGGAGGAGGAGGAGGAGGAGGAGGAGGAGGAGGAGGAGGAGGGGGGGAGGGGGGAGGGGGAGGGGGAAGCAGGGGCAGTTCCAGGGCGTTCGGTGGCGGCTTCGAGCTCCCGGTCGTGGTCGTCGGCGGCGGCGCGGCCGTGGCCCGTGCTGGCTGCATCGCCGCACGCGGGCTAGGCGGCAGGGCCCTGGCATGCCGCGGACGGCTTCGCCCCCCTTCCGCCCCCCCGTTTCCTCGGGTCCTCTCCCCTGTCCACTCCCCCCGTGTCGGCTGCACGCAGCTGTGGCCCTGGGCAAGAAGGACCTGTGGCGCGCGGCTTCACGGGGGACGCGGGGTGGCTGAACCTGGGCGCGCAAGACGCCACTACCGCATCACGTGCGGCGATCGGGGGGCCCCAATGGGCCCGCACACAAGATCACTCTGGCGAAGGGTCACTCTTACGCGTAGTCGATCTCCCCCGTCCCCTCCCCTCGTGGCTGGACGGGGGCCTGGACCCGGCCCTGCCAGGGTGGCATACCAAAGTCCGAGGGGGGAGATCACCCACCCATGTGAGGCCTTCCCCCGCTCCGAGGGGCACCCGTCCGTCCGAAGAAGTGCGCCCTGCCCCGGTGAGATCCACAGTGAGATCCCCCACTTCCCTCCTCCTGCTCAGGTTCCTCCTCCTCCTCCTCCTCCTCCTCCTCCTCCTGGTGCTCCTCCTCCTCCTCCTTCCCCTCCTCCTTGCCTTACTACGACGACGTCTACTACGACGACTTTTACTACGACTACGAATACTACTACTCCTAGTACTACGACTACTACGACGACGACGACAAATACTGCTACGACTACTACTACTACTACTACTACTACTACTACTACTACTACTACTACTAACACTACTAACACTACTACTAACACTACTACTACTACTGCTACTACTACGGCTACTACTACTACTACTACTACTACTACTACTACTACTACTACTACTACTACTACTACTACTACTACTACTACTACTACTACACTACGACTACTAGTGCGACTACTAGTACGACTACT